TATACCTTATTTGATACAAATATAAAAAAAAAATCCAGAAAACTAATACAATTAGAATACAAAGGTTCCAATTGTTTTGCAAACTTCTAAGCAAGTTTCTTAGCATCAAGTGTAGCTTGATAATTCACCTAGTTCATGCATTAACATGGTCTTATTTGACCAAATTAGGCTGTCATGCACCTCCAAATAAGATCTCCTTGCTTAGCCACAGTGGACAAGCTGGTGGCTAAGCCCCAAGAGTCAGCCCAGTTCTTGTCAGGGCCTCAGTGCTGCTTGGAGCCTACACTTAGTTTTCTCCAGATGCAATTCATGTCCATGTCAAATTCCACGCCCATGGCTCCCAGTCAGGCCCATCACCCCTCCAAACCAGGTCCTAACACAGTCTAAGTGCTACCCAAAAGCCACTGGAATTAGCTCTCATTGGATCATCATACCAGGTAGGACAAGGGCATCCTATGCATGCAAAGGGTCAACTTCCCTAACATGACCCCTTGACACATACGTCGACCAAGGAGATCAGTTGACAGAAGAACTTGGAGTAATGGCATTCTATTTTGACTAGGAAATCATACTTCCAAAAGGGAGATGCTTCATCTTTGCCACATTTCGGCAATAATCACCTCTTGCAGAATTCTCTGAGTTCTCCACTCATTATCTTTATTTTCACTATAATGAAATAGGCTTCCCTACTACATCTTAGAATGATGAAGCAAGACTTTCTACAAGGCAAATCCTTCTAGAAAAGAAAGGGCATGGAGACAGCATGTTAGTCATTTACTTATGAACTAAATTTATTCTATACGAGTGACAATTTGGAAGTCAGTTATACGATTCATGGGAAAGTTAGGAACCCTTACAAGACCCTTAAGTTCAAGAATGCATGAGGATCATCCAGGTTATTATGGGTCTAAATGTCCCGGGATACGTCGTAACCCACCTGATTAATAAAAAGTCTCATGTTACCCAGCATATAAGTAAACTTCAAGCAGTTTTTTAGAGTCTCAAGAATATTGCACGCCCTTACTTTTTAGAGTATTAATCGAGAACATTCTTGATCGACACCTATAGAAATTTAGCACCACTAGAACCAGATGGTATGAAAAAAACTAGGAATGCAACACAAAACAACTGAAAAATGACAGAAAGAAAGGAGTACCTCTGTCTCTCCCCAAGAACATCAATGGTAATATGCCCGGATGTTCTTTCTATTAGCACAAAACCATAGGCTGCAGCAGCATACACCAATGCCTGTTCGTCCGGCGAGTCACCCTGATAATCTATCAATTTCACTGCTGGATCAGATGTATCCAATACCTGAGGCACAATGGTGTTACACGTAGCCAATGCAAGAAAAAAACTAACAGCATATAATCCTGCTTCTGTGTCCCTCTCGGTCTCTAACAGTCTCAGGAGCTTGCGGTCAGTATTAACCATAACTTTCGGCCTCCAAACTTGACCATCAACTGCTAGCAACATGATAGAGTAAGTGATTAACGATAGGTTAATCACATCCAAAACATAATCAGAAGCACAGTTCAATAGTCATCTTGAAACAAAACATAGTACCCACTGTTCATAACCTAGTAAAAATTCAAGAGCAACCAGGACATAAAAAGAAATATTTTCTAATGAAGTGCAATGTGGGTGCTCCAGTGAAGGAAATACGACCAAAATGTAGCATACATTCTACTGCTAAATTGAGAGGGACATCACATAGCTATAGTTCATTTATCAAGAAACATATATATTGGTATTATAAACCACAAGGGAGCAATTGCAGAGAAGATACTACCTATGGTGGGATGAGGGGCAATCTCGCCGGGTGTCAGAGGCTCTCGACAAACATAATCAATCCCATGAATACTGGCACACTGGAAGACCATCTTATTCTCCGTGAGAGTTCCGGTCTTATCCGAGAACACATACTTGATCTGCCCCAAGTCCTCGTTTATATTCAAAGCCCTACACTTGAGCTTGTTGCCGGTCGCCTCATGGCACATGCTCTCGTCCTGGGTCATCATGAACGATTGCATCAACCTCGACAGCTCCATGGATATGTAGAGCGAGATGGGAATGAAGTTCTGGAACCTAAAAATGGACTTCAGAAATGCAAACAGCATCTCCAGCCCTAATCCATTATACAAGTAATCCCTTGGCGGAACCCTGGAGTAGTCCTTCCGCCGATAGAACGGCAAGGTGTCCAGCTTATCCCTGTTGCTGTGAAGCCAAATCACAGTAGAGATCGCGATCAGTGAGCAGATTCCGACCATTATGACGGCGAGCACGATGATTTCGCGGTTCATGCGGGTCTCCAATCGACTGCGTTTGGAGGGCGCGCCGGAGTTGTTGAGCATTACCTTGGTCTCTGTCCCGATGTAGACGGCGACGCCGACGACCCAGGAGGTGTTCTGGATGTCGCAACCGCGGAGGACGATGTTGGTGGGACCGAGTGGGATCCTGGGGCCGTCGCCGCGGAGCTCGATGGTGGCCTGGAATCTATAGATGTTGAGGTTGGGTGGCTCACAGCGGATGATGGCGCCGGCTAGGGCCTCGGGGGCGAGCGAGGCGGTCTCGAGCTTGGCGTAGCAGCTCTTGAGGTTGGACTCGCCGTCGAGGTTGATGGTCTGCACGTAGGCGACGCCGGTGGGGTCGCTGGTGGCGAGGAGGACCATGTCGCAGGGGATGGTCTCGTTGGCCACGACGCGGACGAGCTCCCCGACGCGGATCTCCTTCCACTTCTTCCTGACGGTGGAGGCGGCCTGCTGTGAACGGAGGGGGAGGACGGAGGCGGGGCGGTTGTTCTCGGCGGTGTCGGAGCGGTGGCGCTGGTAATCCTCGTAAGCGTCCTTGATGGCGGTGAGAAGGAGAACGGTGCCGAGGGGGAGGAAGGCGGTTTGGCGGCCGAAGACGGTGAGCTGGGGGATCTGGTTGAGGAGGGCCAGCGCCAGGAAGTAGATGTAGGCGACGCGGCGGAACTGCTCGAAGAGGTTGCGGGGGATGAAGGTGAGCAGGGAGTACTTGGTGGTGCGGATGGCGTTGCTGGCGGCCACGTCGGCGCCAGGGGACGAGGACCGGTCCGGGTCACCGACGAAGACCAGGCGAGCGTCCTGGGGGTCTCCGGCGGCGGAGGCCATGGAGGGGAGGAGGGGGAGGGAGAGCTTGGCAGGGGAGGAGGAGCTCAGCATTCCGGTTAAGGAGGTGGAGGAAAGAATAGGAGGTCGAGGAGAGTGGGTGGGGAAAAGGATGCCACCACTGTTTCTTCTTATTAAAGAATACGTCGACCCAACCGGAGGCCTTTTGTCGCAAATGCTTTACTGGAAGCGGGTCCCACTGTAGCCGTTGAGGAGACTGTCCGCCTGTCAAGAAGAGAACGAAACGGGGCAAGATTTGTGCGGGACGCCAATGACTTCCGAGGAGATGACGAGGGAAGCCTTTTTCGATGTCTGCGTGGGCCCCGGTCCCACGTCAGTGGAAAGACGGGCACGGATGTTGGGTTGCAGCGGAGATGAGTAGCGAAAGTGTTGCCCTTTTGTTTCGCGTGCGCGCGACGGCACTCCGGGACGGAAGTCACGACATACGCCCCGACGTGGCGAGTGGGCCGGCGCTGACCGCACCTCAAAATCTCGTGATCCAATAATTTAGAATCCGTAAACACGGCCATCAACTTAATTCTGAGCCTAATCGTAATAGTTTGACCTCACGCATACAGTAAAGTTGATTCTCCTTCCACGCCATATGTGGAATTAAACTAAGATGTCGCATGTAAAACATGTAGCAAAATACACAAAATATTGTTCGTACTAAAATACATGATGCGTAGGACAAAATACGAACCGAGTTCATGGTCGACAAGGTCATTGTGATCTCCGATGAACATGGGTGCATGGGAATCTCCAAACCTCTTCACATGGTCATCGTAATCTCTAATCATAACTTAAATCACCATCGACAAAACATGTCACAGCTATAAAATCACCGGTCGATTGATGTGCACGATATATGAGGATTTATCAGATTGTGGATTTGGGCTTCACTTGTTGGGTTGGGCTGAATTGGTCAGCCTGGGAAAAATAGCATGTGTAGTCGCGCACTGGCAGCGGAAGAGACTGGACCGTGATGGATGCCTGTGGCGGTCGATGTTGTCCGAGGAAGAGAGAGAGGAGGAGTGGGGTCATCTCCATCGCTGAATAAGTGAAGGGCTGAGAGAGGGGATGAATGTGGCCTGCTGCGCTGCCTCAAGAAGCATGCAGGCGTGTCTCTGCAATGTTGGTAAGAGAGAGAGAGAGACAGAGAGATTGGGATGACAGAGAGGATTTTTTGGATTTTGCTGTTGCCTAATAAAGCGGAGACAAATCCTGCGTCGGTGTTGTGTTCTTTTGGATGAGGGAGGAGGCACCGACTCGCTCTCTCATATTACTACTACGTGTGGTGAGTTCAGCCAACGCCAATGGTAGGGGAGGGAGGGAGAAGCACAAAGGAAGTTGAAAGAGAGAATTTAGTAGCAAGCAGTGGAAGGGGGGAGTCTCAACAAAATTAGTGTTTGGGTGCGCCAAGAAAAAGAGGAGGAGGACCCACCAGCACACATCCGGCCACGCAGCAAATCCTGCGCCAGATATTATTCCTCTCTTTCTTCAGCTTCGCTGACGCCAAACCAGCAAAACGATAACACGAACATGTCCGAACCGCGACACGAGAGAGAGAGAGAAAGAGAGAAAAGAGAGGTTACCAAACCGGCCCGTTACAGAACGCAGCGATTAGAATAACAGATGGTTGAGTAGAATATGGCTATTCCTACAATCAACATGTTGGGTCTCACATATCAGACGACGGGAGATGTCACATCATCTCCGACGTTTATATAGGGTGATTCAATGAACCTAAATAAGGGTGTTCTAGTTTCAAAAGTGGTGGCCATGAACATTGTTGTTCTTTACACTATACAAATAGAATAATTAGGGCATGTCATTTGGTGAAACTAAGTTGAATTCTACAAAGAAGAATGTGAAGGTTCTTCTTACTAATATATTTGGAATGCTACCTAATCCTAATATATTAGTGATGAATTTCAATGATGGTACTAAGTAAACCAAATTCAAAGGGGAGGTTAACGTTGGATTCTGTTGCTGTTGACTTCTTCCATCCCTTTCATTAAGAAGAATCCATGAGATGCCTCTGGGTGATACCAAATCCTAATTCTCATGCACCACACACAACAATGTCAGATACAAGAAAGGAAATGATAAAGTTTCTTCAAGTATCAATTGTCCAAGCCAAAATCAACTTCCATTTTGATTACTCCCCTCTTGAAATAAATTTCTTATTAGGACCATCAGGAGTTGAAAAGGAAAAAGGATGAAAAGAAATTGGAGTCAACATGCATGATCCAACATATTACACCAAATAAGGAATGTAACTTCCATGATGTCAACAAGCTTGAAAGCAGCATTTCAATTTGATAGCTTAAAACAAAAATTGTGGTCCATCAACCATGATTGCTCAAAAGCAAACTTAGTAAGATGTGAATTGAGAAAATGACCTATAACTGAACTAGTCCTTCTAACATGTTTGATAGTGATGGAAGATTGGCACATTTAATCTCTCTCTCTCTCTCTCTCTCTCTCTTTAATCTCT